AGAGTCACTTTGAATGCTTCAGTGGAACTTGACCAAAGGGTGTACAACCGACCGACCACATCAAAGGTTTGAATACAAGTATTTGAGTTATCCTTTTTGAAATAAAATTAGATGCATACACTAAATAAATTGAGTTCTATAATTATGTTAGGTTGCTGGTATTTGGGTTGAAGGCAACGACAACATAACTGCATACAAGAGAAGTATTGTTGTGTATGGGAGGTCTAATTATAGCCAAAATATTCAATATTACTTCAGTTGTTATGACCCGTTGTCCTATCCTTTGTTCTTTCCCAGCAGTGAACCTGGATGGCATTCTAATATACCTAGACATGGAGTGTGCATGAATCAAAGTGTTAATGATGATGAAAACATGGAGGAAGATTTAGAAGGTACATACCATGTTGCAATATTTACGTTTTAATTAACGTAACAAATATATGCTTAAACATACATGTCATCAGTTTATATTTATTTCATAAAATACACACTACGCAGAGGTTGATGTGAGAGACAACAAGAATATTGTGACGATGCGGGAATACTATTGTTATATGTTCCAGATTCGTTCGAATAACAATGTGCTTCTATTGGGGGGGAAGGTTGTTACAACAGTTTGTGGTAGATATCTACATTAAGATTGAGACTTCCCGTTTGGATTTTTGTCAGAAAAACCAAGGCAAAATAAGAGCAAATTTATACCAAGGTGTTGTGGATTGTGTCAATGCCGGTGAGGTGATGCCAAGTAGAATCGGACAACGGGTTGTGTTGCCTGCAAGTTTCATCGGAGGACCATGTGACATGCGACGACGATTTCTTGATGCCATGACTTTAGTACAAGATGATAGGAAGCCCGATATATTCCTTACAATGACGTGCAATCCAAAGTGGCCTGAAATCCTTAGAGAGCTGTTGTCGGGTCAGACCGCACCCGGTCGGCCAGACCTTGTTGGAAGAGTTTTTCGTGCGAAACTAGAGGATATGAAAGACCAACTCTTCAAAAAGCACATCCTCGGTAAAGTCGAGGAATATGTTTATGTCATCGAGTTTCAATAGCGTGGTTTGCTGCATGCCCATTTTCTTCTGATAATGACACCCGAACACAAAATGACCAATCCAGACCATTACGACAAGAGTGTGTGTGCTGAAATTCCGAACCCAACCAGGTATCCACAAATGCATGAACTGGTCGTCCAACACATGATGCATGGTCCTTGCGGTCATTTACGACCGTCCAGTCCTAGTATGCAAGGTGAGCCGAAAAAAATGTCGTTTCAGATATCCCAAACAGTTCAACGACAAAACGATGCAAAGCTGAGGACTCATATCCATTATATCGACAGAGAAATAGTGGAATTAATGTGAATGTACGAGGCAACATCCTGGATAATAGATGGGTGGTCCCGTATAACCTGAAGCTATTAATGATGTTCAATTGTCATATCAATGTTTAGACTTGCTCAAGTATAACATCTGTGAAGTATGTCTTCAAGTATGTTTACAAGGGTCACAACAAACAAGTTGTTCATATAGATTCAGAGGAAGAAAGGGTCGTTATTAAAGAAATTAGAAGGTTCCAAGATGCGCGTTATGTCTCCCCTCCCGAGGCGATATGGCGGATCATTAGCTTCACATTTTCTCAAATGCACCCTTACGTGTTGGCATTGCAACTCCATCTCCCTAACAAAGAGATGGTTAGGTTTAGAGATGATGATATAATGACAGATATTGTCGATAGDGAGASAKATAAGCGAACGATGCTGACTGCATTTTTTGATAGGAATAGAACAGACATGAGTGCAAGACAATATTTGTACAAAGACTTTCCAAAACACTACACRTGGAATTGGAGCACACGTCGATGGAATCCCCGACAAAGAGGATCAATGAAAGGCCGACTTGTGTCTGCAAATCCAGCTGAAGGAGAGCGGTTCTACCTACGCCTACTTTTGTCTCATATTACTGGGCTTACTTGCTTTCAAGATCTATACAGTTTCAACGGCTTACTGCACCCTACATTTTGCAAAGCATCTCTTGAGAGAGTGTTAATAGAGAACGATGACAACTTATCCCAATGTCTTGGAGAGGCCTCCTTATTTCAATTTCCGGCTGCTTTTAGGAGGTAATTTGCCATGATGTTGATTTATTGTGAGCCAGGAGATGTTCACAAGTTATGGGATGACCACTATGATTCACTCTCTGAAKATTATACGCGACAATGTGAAAGTGCTATTCGAGTCCGTAATCTGGTTCTAACTGATATCCTCATTTTTCTACAGTCTATGGGTAAGAGTCTTGATGATTTCGATCTTCCAATGGTTGATGCAAATTCAAATTTTCAATCTGGAGAATTTCGTGAGGTACAAGAGGAATGCTCTATAGTTGTGGAAGATGAACACTTGCGTGCCCGAGACTCACTGGATTCCGACCAGAAATACGCATATCATGAGATAATGAGGCACGTAGACGAGGATTGTCCAGGAGTGTTCTTATAAATGGTCCAGGTGGAACCGAGAAGACTTTTTTCTACAAAGCTTTGCTTGCCAACATCCATTCACGTGGTCTTATTGCTCTCGCAACCGCTTCGTCGGGTGTTGCTGCCAATAATATGCCTGGAGGGAGAACAACTCACTCTAGATTCAAAATTCCTCTGAACCTTGATAATAACTCAATGTGCAACATACAAAAACAAAGAGGGGCTGCTAAATTGATTCGAGATGAAAAAATAATCATCTGGGACGAAACGTCGATGGCAAAGAGGCAAGCAGTGGAGGCGCTCGATCGAACAATGCGAGACATCATAGGGGTGGCACTCCCATTCGGCGGAAAGATAATGGTTYTGGGGGGTGATTTTAGACAAGTCTTACCGGTCGTGAGGCGTGGAACCCGAGCACAGATTGTAGATTCTAGCTTGCGGATGTCACCTCTTTGGGCAACGATTAAAAAGATACCCCTAACGCTCAATATGAGAGCATGCACTGATCCATGGTTTTCGGAATTTTTATTAAGAGTCGGTGATGGAGATGAAGAAGCGGTGGACGAAAGCTTTATTCGCGTAGCAGATGACATGACCATTCCCTATGCTGATAATGGTAAGTCAAAAGATGCGCTGATTGACGCAATCTTTCCATCTCTGCAAATCAACGGAGCTGATTTAGATTATATCATTTCGAGGGCAATATTGTCAACTAAAAACGAGAATGTCAACGAGATTAATGATCAGTTGATCGACAAGTTTTCTGGAGATGAAAAAATATACTACAGCTTCGACGAAGCAGAAGATGATAAGAACAACATCTATCCGATGGAGTTCTTAAATTCTTTAACTGTTAGTGGTTTGCCTCCTCATTACCCTTGTCTCAAGATTGGATGCGCAATAATACTGTTACGAAATATCGATCCCTCAAATGGATTTTGTAATGGCAGTAGATTGATATGCAGAGGCTTTCAACAGAACGTCATCGATGCAGAAATAGTTGTTGGTCAGCATGCTGGAAAGAGAGTATTTCTTCCAAGAATTCCCTTATGTCCGTCCGAAGACACATGTTCCCGTTTAAGCTGAAGAGAAAACAGTTTCCAATCCGGCTTAGCTTTTCAATGACAATCAATAAAGCTCAAGAGCAAACAATTCCGAATGTAGGTGTTTATCTACCGGAATCAGTTTTCTCACATGGGCAAATTTACGTGGCGTTGTCCAGAGGGATATCACGGGGGGAATACGAAGATGTTAGTGAAGCCTGTTAAAAAATTCAATCGTGTCGGAGTCTACACCTCAAACGTCGTCTATCAAGAAGTTTTACGTGATGAATAAGGTATAATCAACAATTATATTATTACACATTTTGTACCATATGTTTCTATTAAAACCATTGCGCCATTTTTTTGCAGGAAATATTTATGGATGAGTGCATCACGAAAAGCAAACAACAGTTCGAATATACGGATGAACATTATTTTACGAACGACTGTATTTCTTTGTTCATTCTAGAATTTCAAGTTTTGTAATAAGCTCTAAGTAGATGTTTCGGAAACCCATCATATGTGCAATTTTCTTTTCATTCGATCTTGCTAACAAACAAAATTGACCTTCAACTTTATATATTAGTTGACTTGTAAAATAACCACATAAACTCATGATTCAAAGCCAAACTAATGTTTTCGAATTGTGATTTACCCGCGCTGCATCGTGCGGGTACACCAGTAGTGTAACCAAATATACGCTGGCAGAAGAGATGGGAAAGCTAAGGGAAACCTTGACTTCCATTATGGGAATACCTATCAGAATCGAGACAAACAGAGTTGAAATTAATCCATCTGTCTTCGTTGTCAACAATAGAGAAGGAGATATCAAGATGTTCTTAATCCATCTCAGGAGAAAGAGATCCAGTCAAAGCCATGTGTTGGATCAAAGAAATAGAATCTGTGTTTAATACAATCAGATGCGCAAAAACAGACAAAGTCAAATTTGCCGTCTCTATATTGAAATCCAATGCATTGTTTTGGTGGGAAGTAGAGTCACTAGCCAGAACAGACATCTTGCAAACATTATCATGGGCAAAATTTGGTAACAAGTTCAAAGACCATTTTTTTTCCTAAGGCCTCTATAAGGCAGATGGAGGAAGACTTTTTGAAGTTAGAACAGGGCATCAGAACTGTTCGAGAGTATACAAAGAAATTTACTAAATATTCACGATTTGCAAAACATTATATTTCATCCGAATCAAGAAAAGTGGAGAGATAAATTTGGGGATTGAAGCCATCCATTCAAGAGTTTGTGACAGCCATGAATCCGGCTACATTCTCTTTAGCAGTTAATGCAGCTGAAGTAACCGAGAGAAATAAAAATCGACAAGAGGATGGGAAAGTGATAGAGAAGAGAAAATAGGAAGGGCCATCAACAGGATGCAGAGGGCCGAAGAATGTAATTTATAGTACCAGACCTGTACAGAGAGTTAATGAAAAAGCTTGTTCACGATGCCATCAAGTTCATCAGGGTGATTGTAAAACAGATCTGAGGAAATGTTATCAATATGGAGAGGCCGGCCATCTATCAAGAAATTTCCCAATGACTAAAAAGTTGTTTTAATTGCAATTCGCCAGAACATCTTAGGCCAAACTGCCCACAATAGAAAGCTCCACAATTGACCATGGAAAGCAATACATCGAGTGCCCGTGGAAGACCTAGCGTGGGTAGAGGAGGATCACGAGGGGCGCGGGGTCGATCTTTTCAAACTACACCAAATGTAGTGACAGCTACATTCCTCGTGAACTATTTATATGCTAAAGTGTTATTTGACTCAAGTGCAAACTTCTTGTTTGTATCCCCATTCTTTGCTCTATGTGCTTGTATGAATTCCGTGTCTCTTGACGGCAAATTAGTAGTTGATACTGCTAATGATCAAGTATATGTGGATTATGTGTTTGGTAACTGTACTATCATGATTGAGGGATGTAAATTACCAATCAGACTGTTTCCCATGCCGATGAAAGAGTTTGATATAGTAGTAGGGATGGATTGGTTGGCAGAAAATCAGGCCAGCAATGTTTGTGATAAAAAGATGATAAACTATTTTTGCCAGACAGAGGGTCAGTGGTAATTTATGGTGATCATCAGAATCATCATACCAGTCTGTTAACTGTGATGAAATCCAGGAAGTGTATTCAAAAGAAATGTCAGGGATATTTGGCTTATGCTATTAATGCAAACAAAGAAAAGGGAAAGCAATAATTGATTCTGATTGTTAGTGAATATGTTGAAGTCTTTCCAGAAGACTTATCCGTATTACCACCAAACAGAGTTATCAAATTTGGGATTGATCTGATACCCGAAACAGCACCAGTAGCAAAGGCACCATACAGATAACTCCATCAGAATTAAAAGAATTGGTTACATAGTTAAAATATTTGCTTGATAAAGGCTTTATCATACCTAGTACTTCACCGTGGGGAGCTCCAGTTTTGTGAAAAAAAGATAGTTCTATGCACATGTGTATCGATTGCCAAGAGCTGAACAAACTGACAATCAAGAATAAATATTCATTGCCAAGAATTGATGACTTGTTTGATCAACTAGTGGGAGCAAGTTACTTCTCGATGATTGACTTACGATCAGGCTATCATCATCTCAAAGTTAAAGAGGAAGATATTGTTAAAACCGCTTTTCGAACCAAGTACGGACACCATGAATTCCTAGTGATGCCATTTCTTTAACTAACGCACCTGCAGCTTTTATGGATTTGATGAATCGGGTATGCAAAGAATATCTTGATAAATTCATTATTGTATTTATTGATGATATTCTCATATACTCTAAAACCAAAGAAGAGCATGTATAGTACCTTCGATGGATACTTGAGCTCTTGAAAAGAGAAAAGTTGTACGCAAAGCTGACAAAATATGAATTCTGGTTGAACGATGTTCAATTTCTGGGGCATGTTATATCAGAGGCATGGGTAAAAGTGGATTCAGCAAAGATCAAGGCAGTTGAAAAATGGGAGGCACCAAAGACTCCTTCTGAAGTCCGAAGCTTTTTGGGACTGGCAGGCTACTACCATAAATTCATTCAAGATTTTTCCAAAATATCAATGCCATTAACGAAATTAACTCGAAAGAATGTCAAGTTTCAATGGGAGAAAGAACAATAGAAAGCTTTCCAGTTACTGAAAGATTATCTTTGTAGTGCCCCGATATTATCCTTACCCGATGGAACAGAAGACTTTGTGGTATGCAACTATGATTGGGTTGTGTCTTGATGCAAAGACGAAAAGTCATATGATACACATCCCAACAACTGAAGGATCAGGAAAAGCAACATCCAACTCATGATATGGAATTGGTAGCGGTGGTATTCACATTAAAATATGAAAACACTGTCTATTAGGAACGAAATGCCAAATCTATACTGATCATAAGAGCTTGCAACACTTGTTCAATCAGAAAAAATGAATATGCGACAGCGTCGATGGATTGAACTCATTAATGATTATGATTGTGAGATCCTCTATCACCCGAGAAAAGCCAACGTGGTAGCTGACATGCTAAGCAGAAAAGAAAGAAGTCAAACTATCAAAACTGTAGCGATGAGAATAAACTTGACTCTCGATCTTCATCAAGAGATTTTGAAATGTCAGAAAGAAGTTGTTAAAGAAGAGCATATGAAGTCGGAAAGATTGGGTAAAATGATTTCCACTATAGAATCCAATGATGAAGGAATTTTATGCTTCCAAGGTCGGATATGGGTACCATGTTACAGGAATACACGAGAGACCATCCTAAATGAAAGTCACAAGTTTTGCTACTCTATCCATCCAGGTACCAATAAAATGTACAAAGATCTGAAATCTTTGTATTGGTGGCCAGGATTAATTAGGGACATAGCAAAAAATGTGAAACGATGCTTAACCTCTTTGCAAGTTAAGATTGAGCATGAGAGACCTTATGGAAACCTGCAATCCTTGGAAATTCTAGTCTAGAAATGGGATCACATTCGATGGACTTTGTCATGAAATTACCCCGAACCCTGAAAGGTTATGATACAATTTGGGTAATAGTGGATCGTCTATCTAAGTTTGTGGATTTCCAACCAATAAGAGAAACCTATTCTTTAGAAAGGTTGGCTCAGATCTACATCAAGGAAATCGTAACGAGACATGGTGTTCCACTATCCATTATTTCTAATAGAGACAACCGTTTTACTTCAAAATTTTGGGAAAGTTTGCAAAGAGCTTTGGGATCACAAATATGGTTAAGTACGACCTATCATCCTCAAACAGACGGGCAAAGTGAAATAACCATCTAGACTATTGAAGACTTGTTGGGAACATGCGTTATAGACTTCGAGGAATCATGGGAGGATCACTTGTTGTTGATAGAATTTGCCTACAATAACAACTATCACTTCAGCATTCAAGCGACACCGTGTGAGGTGTTGTATGGAAGAAAATGCTGAACGCCGTTATGTTGGAATGAGGTAGGTGAAAAACAACTGACAGGTCTTGAGATTGTGCAACCTGAAAAGATTGAACAGATTCATGCGAGAATTAAGACAACTCAGGACCATCAGAAAAGTATGCTGACAGGCGACGAAAACCAATTTTATTCAACATGGGTGACACTGTAATGTTGAAAGTATCTCCGTGGAAGGGTGTTATGAGATTTGGGAAGAAAGGTAAGCTTAGTAAAGATATATTGGACCGTTCAAAAGTTGCAAACAGGTTGGGCTAGTAGCTTATCAGTTGGAACTACCTGAAGAGCTCAGCCTAATTCATAACACCATTCATGTGTCAAATATGCGCAAGTGTTTGGCCGATCCAAATTTAGCAATACCGCTTCCAGAGATTAAACTAGATAGTAAACTGAATTTTGTAGACACACCAGAAGCCGTGACTGACTGAAAGACCATGGTGTTGAGAAACAAAGAAATTAGTTTGGTAAAAGTACAGTGGCGTTATCACAAGGGTCAAAAGCTACATGGGAATTAGAATCTGACATGAGAACCCGATACTCTTGGTTTTTTGGTTAAATGAGTTCTCGAACAAAATTCTTTTTGAGGGGGAGATATTATGATAACCAGGTTTCAGACAACATCGAATGAGGTAACTTATGTGATTATTATGTGAAATATGTGATGACATGCATGTTATTTTAATAAATTCATGAATCATGTATATATATAGGTGAAATGTGAAATACTATGCATACATCAAAGGATGATGATGTGTGTGTATATGATAATATGCATACACGAAACGTGATTAAAATATGTGATACTTTCATGGTGAAGTAAAGTTGGTTTTAAAATAATAAAAACCACCGCCTAAAGCGTTTATTTTTATTATTTAACCACACCACCTTTAGTAAACATATAAAAAGAAGATAAAAGATAAGGTTTATCTTATCCTTACTTCTAAAAGATTTTTGAGAGAAAAATGCGAGTGTGGTGGTGGAGGTTGTTCGTGAGAAGATTAT